AGAGCTTCGCAGAAGGCTGCCACCAGTCCTGACTATGAAGAGACTAGTGTCTCTGGGGCAGTGCTGGCCCCACTGCACCCCGTGTTTGGCAGGGATGGCTCGGGGTTTGGCTCGCAGCGTGAGGAATGGCTAGAAGGGAGAGGTGGTTCTGACAAGCAAACTAATAGCTCAGGCAGATTCCTCCATCCAGAGGGATAGAGCTAGGAGAGGGTGGGAGTAAATGAGACTCTTCCTTCAGGCTCTGCCCCTTTTTCTATGCACCCATTATAATCTTCTGGATGAAATTCCTCTGCCCACCCTCCCGAACACACACGCTTCTGCTTGAACCAAAAGTTTTCTGTCTGGACAACTCCCTGTGCTATGTTCTTTTAACACCTCTCCTGGGGTAGCCTCTTGCACAAAGAAATCCTCACCAACCCCCCTTTCTTCCCTGCACCCCTTGAGATGTAGGGAAGGCAGAGAGAGGCACAAGGAACCACGGTGCAAAGCTCACGGCCTCGAGTGGGGCTGTGATCAGCTGCCCTGACTTGCATCCACGTACGGCTCCTCCAGCCCTGGGGACTGGCACCGCTACCTGGACAGCCTGCACCCCTCTTTGCTGCTTCTGGGGTGCATCTCAGCCTTCGCTGAGCACTGTGATGCTGAAACCATCCCATCTGTTGATCCTGGGGCTGGGTGGAGAAGGGAATAGCACAAGCCTTTCTTTGGTTCCTCTCCCTACCCCGTCTAGGAGTGAGCAGGCCAGGTAGGCACTGGTACCAATGGGTGCAGCTAAGTTGCAGGCATCACAGAGAACCAGTCCTTCCTCAGATCCAACCCCAGCTTGGGTCTCTGATGCTAGAAAAATGGCATGCTTGCTCAGCAGCTGTCCACCAAACCCTGCAGTGATTTAGGTAGCCCTGTTTTGAGTAGGGGTGAGACTTTCCTTCCAACCCAAATGATTCAGTGAACAATCCTCGTGAACAGCCACGGCAGAGCCTTCTCCTCATCTTCTGCCTTCATTTTTGAGTTGAGGGCTTCCCACCTGTGTTTCCCTTGCTCACCAGGGGAAGAAGGCAAAGCCCCGGGGGCAATCATCCCCAGTAGCACCACAGTGGCTAGGAAGGTGGCAGCAGGGAGAGCCTGCTGTTCAGTGCATTAGATTGGCTTGCTTTTGTACAAAGTACAATACGTGGCTGGGTTGGTGGTTAAACGAAGTTTACACTGATTAAAAAATACTGTAGTTATCAGGGCTTTATCCGTGCAGAATAAACCAGTTGATTCTAAGAACGTAGTTTTATTTAGAGCTCTTACTTCTATAGCAGAGATGTACTTTTTTGTAAAAATGGCTCCTGGCACTGCCAGTCCCAGAGCAAAAGCCTTCTGCATATAGTCAAGGTGGCCTGAGTCAAGGCCCCCTGCCCAAACTCTGCTGAGTGGGGCTTCGAGGTAGGTACCCGCTGCGGCTCTCTAGAGAGGGCCCACCAACCCTACAAAAAGCATCAGCTTCTGGGGAGGGCCGAGCCTTCTCATCTTGGTCTGCTTTGAGCCCAGCAAATCCAACCCTGCTTTAGCCTGTTCCTGCCCCCCTGAAGCACTCACGCTTTCCCCAACAGCAGCCCAGTACAAACCAGCGATGCCTGCCTTTGCTATGGGTCAGAGCACGGTGCACACCCACAGCTCTGGGTGCAGATCACAGCTGATGGATACCGAGGTCACCTGGACAAAGAGGGGACCCTGGAAGGGGGGGTTTCCCCTTCCGTGGGAGCTCAGCCCCTCTCTGCCTTCGGAGCCAGCACCCAGGTGGCTGTGCCTGCAATGCTGTTGCCATCCAGTGACAGGACACAGTACTACAGACCAGTCGCCCATTCACAGTCCCAGTTCAAGCTTTTTTCCACTTGGTAACCAGTGTCAGGAAGGCTGGGAAAGGTGAGAGCAGAGGGAGACAATATGCTGATATCCTGAGACAATCCTCCCTGCAAATCCCCTGAGAAAACAGATAAAATGGAAACTTTCCTTTGCTACAGCACCTATTTTAAAAGTTCCCTTCTCTGTCCTGGTATCACAGACTATGCTAAGGATTGATCATCTACCATAAAGCTGAAAAATGTTCTTTATTTAAAGTCAGGCCTTACAGCTGAATTTGGTTTGCAAGGTGAAACACCTTATCTGAAGATGAGAATAAATTACAAGCAGCATGGCTTTTTGTACAAGCAAAAGTTCTCTCCAATCTGTTAGAGTTCTTGGAGCGTGTCGGTGAAGTAGTGAATAGAAGCTGATAGACAGTTTTTTTTTTTTCCCAAGGTCCTCTGAAAAAGTCCTGCTGGAGACACAACCAAACCAGAGAACTAGCCTAGAGGACAGTGACACGTCAATAATGTAGGTGATTAAGAGAAAACAACAATTAGTATTTCATTTTCATTGTGGCCAAAAGGCTCCATCTGGTGGTGTTTTCACCCAGAAAAGAAGGTAAGGTGTGGGGATGGGAAACTGCAGATGATACGAACTTGGTTAGACTGGTTCACACCAGAGAAGAGTCTTGAGATCTTGAGGAAATCTCAAGATCTGCTCAAGATGGGTGAACAGGTGGCACGATGGTAAATGTGTCTGTGTGTGGATAAATGCAAAGAAATACACTTGCAAGGGGACAAATGAGCTAGGTGGGCATTCAGCTGCTCAAAGAGAGTCAGCACGGCCACAAAACCTGGGCATGGACAAGCCCCTGGAGATTTGTGCTGCTCAGCACAGATAAAACAAATAAAGCAACCAAAACAGAGATATATAGAAGAGGAATATTATAGCAAATATTTTAATGCCTTTCTATTAAGCACAGTGCAGGGCACTCGCCCAGGGAAAGGGATACTGCAGAAACAGTCAGGGTCAAAATGATAAGCACAGAAAGACCCTGATATGGAAATAGGCTGAAAGGTTTGATATTTTTATCTTAAAAGAGGCAGGAACATGAGGTACATGTTATAAAATTATGGCTGGTCCTGCTAAGCCTCTGCAGCTGCAAGGAGAAAGGACGTAAGGTGTCCTGTCTCTGCTTGGACAGGGTGTGTAGTAACAAGCTTAAACTGCAGCAAGGGATAGGTGTTGAGGAAAAAAAATCTATCTGAAGGTAAAGATTAAGGTAGAAATCAGCGGTATGGAGAGGCAATACTGGAGGTTTTTAAAAGCAGGTTAGGCAGATGTCTGTCAGGAACATCTTTGTTACAGTGGGGCAGATGGGCTGCTCTCAAGACCTCTCTGACCCTCCTTGGGCTCAAGGTGGTCCTTGGTTGTCACACCAGGCAGGGCTGCAGGCGAGCCAGGCTCTGCCCCGGTTTGGCGATCCCCATCCTACAGAGATGAGTTGGAGCACTGTCAGTTGGGGTCACCCAGCCTGTTTTGCAGTAGCAATACCAGGCAAGTTCCCTGCTCCAGCCATCGCGGAAAGGCCCCAGAGGGCAGGAGGCTTCAGCCTGTTCAGGGCTACGATACTGTGACCCCCGTTGTCCCCGGCTGCAGCCCAGAAGGGCTCTGTCTGCATTAGGAGAGGAGCCCAGACATAGGACCGCTGCTCATTTCCTACCTCCAAGGTCCCTCTAGCTCCTTCCCTCAGCTGGCTGACCTGCTCTAGGAGATGGGTGATGCTGGAATAGGGTGAGTTTGGCTCAGACAGGGCCAGTCACAGTTTCAAGCCTGAGTCACCTGGAGTAAAAAGAACAGAGCTAAACCATGCGGTCCACACTGGGACGCTCTCCCTATTTTGCAAAAGTCAGAAAGATTTTAGATGGGAGAGTGGAGCCTGTTTCCCTCCCTCCCCCAAAAATCATGCTGAAACACTAGTCATGAACAGAACAAGGTCAAGTCACTTCCCAAAGACACTGTGCCCAGAAGAGGCTGGGCCCTGCTGCCTGGGCAGCTATAAAACACTGCAGCCCTGGGCTTAACCAGCACATTCCTGCACCATCCTGCCCAGCTGGGCTCAGAGGGCAAAGAGCTGATGCAGGGATGGGATGCAACTCCAGTGCCTCCCACTGAGAGCAAGGGAGACCAACTGGTCTCACTTGGGCTGCTCATTTGCCAGCATCCAAGTCTAGTGAATGGAAGCCCCCAGCAGAACTGGAGGGAGGGCGGGCGGCGGGCAGGCTGCCTACACTGACCATTAGTCACCCCACAGCTTTTTAGTGTTTGGAAACCTGCTAGTGCTTCCTAGCTCTGCTGGCACGCAGCCTTTGAGCTCACAGCGGGCTGTGAGGCTGCGCTCCAGCACCTGCATCAGCCATGGGAGAGCCGCAGGTCTCCAGGTCCAGGCTGCGGCAGGGAAAACCCGCCTGCCAGCGCTGCCAGATGTTACCATCGACTGTCAGATGACAGGTAGTCAGCATGTTTCTTTAAAAAAGGGGTAGGGATGCTCATTAAAAGGAAAGAGAAGGCTCAGGTACTTGAGCTCAGGAACAGAGGGAAGGTGAAAGCAAGCCCCACATGGGCTTTCTAATGCTGGCTTGCCCCTCCAGTGACTTACAGACAATTGCAGCAACCAAGGCTGCAATCCTTCATCAAATGCAGGCATGGCCTAGGCTAGAGCCATTCGCAAATGGGGAGCTCTGCATCTGCCCCAAGGAGTAGACAAGACCCATGTGCTCCCACACATGCACACTGGCGTTATTACAACAATGCATTTGTTCCTCCAGACTCTCGACTCCAGAGGAGCCTGTTCTGCCTCACTGCTGCACGCTAGGAGTGTCACAGTGATGCTCTGTCCTCAGCAGCTAAGCAAGGCATAAAACAGAT